AAATAGATTTCCTATTTGACGCAGGCGCAGAAACGAATATTATAATTAGAGATACATGGAAATAAGTTTAATAACGAAACTAGTCTGTGTTACTTCAAAATGCAACAAGTAAATTAGCAACAGCACAAGGCAAAAATTTGCAAAATTATGGAAAGATCAAATTTCAATTACAGCCTACAAAAACAACTGAAAACTATAAGCTTTTAAAAACCTTTTTTACAGATATAATTTACATTACAAGCAAAAAACCTAACATCATAGGAGCTCTATTTATTACAAAAAATATACCAACAGTTAATATTGAATGTAGATTACAAATTTAAGATAACTATATTAAAAAAAATACATTGTTTACCTATTTCCAACGAATTTAAAAAAACCAACAGATTTTGAAAAACAAATTAACAATTCAAAAAATTTCAGGTAATGGCTCTGAGCTTATAAATTACGAAACCATAACATTATGACATTTATACAACATAAAACACAGATCATGGACTTCACTTACTCTACGGAAAATTACATTTGTATAAGGCAACCTATCAATTCTTCATTACAAGAGTTTTTAAGATGTTTTATGAAAGGAATTGATAAATTAGATCAAATTTTTCCCCGAGAATACAACTCTCATTTTTTCATAACCTTAGGTTTATCACCATGTGAAATGACTTTCCACCAAAAACCTCGTAAGCCAGAAAGTTTACAGAAAATGCATTCAAAGACTCACAAGGACACTGCAAGCCACCAAAAGATTCAGTATTTTATAATTTAGCACTCACACACAATGATGACAAGTTCCATCACCCACCATTTTTAAAATTTGCCTCATTTACTCATAGCGAATGGATTTTAAAGAGAGACAAAAAAGCTAGTGAGTTATTTTGAAAAATAAACAAAAAAACAATGAGAAAGAAAAAACTTTCAATCAAAAAACAAAATCACTCTCGTCTTACGCCAGCTTCGACCTTAGATATTGGAACACAGGTTTTAACAACAAACTTTTCATTCCGTAGAAAAAAAATACCAAAAAATGCAAACACTCCGAAAAAAAACCACCAAATCTTTGACAAACCAAATGTTGTCAGGTATAAATTTATTCATGAAAATGAAAAAGAAATTGTACAAAGTGGAAATAGACATTCACTAAACTTCAAATCGTTGAAATACTACCAAAATCAAATAAAACAAATCCTTTCGTAGAATCAAATAAATATATCAACCACAACAAAATATGCATCTAACCACACAAAAAGAAAAACTACAATTCCATGAGAACAAACCCGTTAAAAAATACGTAACCTACAAGAAAAACAACTTACTCTAGAATTAAATGGAAAATTCACGCTCCAAAAATTTTCGAGACTATGAAACCAAACTAAAAAAAATAACAAACATTCATAACACAAACATTTTGAAAAAAGTCAAAATTCACAATATACCAAAAAAAAGACAAGAACATATGCCTGATATCATTGATATCCTCAACCGATACTACCGCATCTTTAAGATATCAATGGCATCACATAATTTGTCTATTTGAATCTTTTAATTCCTTTGACACTTCAATTTTTTCACTGAAAAAATCTGAGAAATACAGTAACAGAATCTGACCAACCACAACGTATCATTGCTGAATACATTCTTGTTCGTCGCCACCGTTCAATTAAGGGACTCTCTCCTATCTAAAACTCGAACTATAACAGCAACTTTAAGACCTTTGGGTCAAAATTTCGTTAAACGTTCGTAAAAGGTGAAAAAAAAATCATGTCAAGTTGTAGACCTCTCCTGACAACCCTCAGCAAAAACCAATAACTTGGTATACACTAGCACTCCAAAAACTTCAAAAAAAATAGCTAAATTAGCCTGAAATAGAGTTTTGCTATCATAATTCTAAATTTAAGATATCTTAAGAAAGACGCCTGTTTACGCAAAAAATGAAAGCAGAAGTCAAAGTTTAATACAGACTCCTGCAGACTATCTTTCACCAATACCTATCAATTTTCAACCCCATCAGTGATTTGCAATATGCAGTTTCATTATTGCATAAAAAGAATTTGGTATTTAAAAGACCTTTTGAATAAACGAAGCCGCTTTCCAAATCCTAGCTTTGAAACAAATTGTCATGATTCTCAAGAATTTCTATTTAAATTTGAAAACTTCTCCAAATCTTTACTTTTCATTAAATTACTTTAGACTTTTTGATTGGAATTTTTTAATTTTTTTAGTAAACACTTTTAAATTTTCTACGTCCTTTTTCAGCTACATCTATCCCATTTCCCAGCAGATCTTGCCTAGCTTTCCAGGTAAAAAAGGGCTAGTATAAAAAATTTCTTTTGTAATATTAAGATATCTTTTCAAAAAAAACGAAATTATCAATCTACCAGCAATGTTATTAACCTAAGTAGCATCCGCAAATCTACCATTTTTCAAAATCTAAGATAATCAGCTGTTGTGAATTTAATAGCCATTATCATGAAAGTATTTTTTTCAAAGAATAATTCCAAGAACACTTCAAATCGTAAATATAGAGAGGTTCAAAATTATCAGAGTATAAGATTGTTAATAAAACTTTCAACCCAATCTCCCCACCTCCAAACCAACCCAAAAAATTACCTCAAATCACCGAAAATCCGATAATCAGAACACACTTCCAAGAAATCCGCAGAAACAACCAGACATTCATATGTAAAAAACCCTTACACTCTCAAAAAACAACTAATATCATATTCCGAACCGTTTTTTCGAGCACGTCAAAACTCACTTTTAAGTGAACCACAAGACCAACCTATAACATGTGACCCTCAATTTTACAAGATTTGGGACGAATAAGACATCAAAATCAAAATCAAACACAAGGAATCACGATAGATAGACAATTAATTGATCCACGACCAAACAGAAACTTCTGAACACCAAAATTTCGTTTCAAAATAAGTTCACCATCACAGCCTTCATCTTCGTCACAATCAGAAACTATATCAGATACCTCTACATTTCCAATTATAAATTCCTCATCATATGCACGACGTTTAGCAACAGACATAGATTCAGCCCTAACATCACAACAATTAAGAGATAACTCATTCTTCCCTTCAATAGCCTCAAAACGTCTTCCATATGTGGTGACCTATCAAAATCAGCACGATGAACTAAACCTAGTAAATGACCCATCTGCAACTCCATCAGAAACATCATCATCTTCTTTTCCAACAACAGTTTCTCTACCCTCTACACTTTCCTTTTCAAGCTAGCCACAATTTTGTAAGTACACATCAGGATTACAACAGTTTTCAAAAAATGAAATCCGAAATTCAAGCTAGCCATTAAAACTTGAGACGAGACATTTGTAGCTCCTCCTCTACTCTTCAGATAGCACACGTTTCCATAGTTGGGCTTTAAATTGTTTACACAAAAGATACGATATTCATCAAGACAACCAATATCATAACTTGCAATTGATAGCACTTCAAGAGTAATTTTAAAAAATTGATGTTATAAAAAATTAAGAACTATCACACCTCAATCAGATCAAAGATTTTTTAGTAGGGCATTACGTTTGCTAGCAACCAACAAAAAAAACATTTCATGAGTTTGCTATAAATCAGATCACTCAATGCGAATCAGAAGCACAAGCAAAAAAAAAAACAAATGTAGAAACATTTTAAGCAAAAGCCACATCAAAGCAGCATTGAACGAATTTTACATTTTAACCCTGATGGTTGCAAATTACAACGCCTTAACTTAGTAGAAGACAAAGACAAAAGTAGTTTCCACATTTTCCTAGATTTAAACCATCAACAACAATTAGAAAACAGCCAAGGTTTGATATAATTAATTGAAAAATATCCATATCATGACGTACACCTAAGATAACTCTCTCAGATTTTTATCATAAGAACTGGATACCCCACATAAGTATTAACAATCCCTCAAATTGTGAAGCTAGTACAAGAAACACAGGATATCGAGGATTTTCCGATTTTTTTAATTGGAAAATACAATTAAAACAAGGACAACTCACAAGAGATTCAAAAACTGACACAGTTTTATATCAAAAGAACCGTTTACCTTGTAAAATTCATCAAGAAAGTTGCGACCCAACATTTCGTACACAAGCAACTATTGTTTGGTTCGCTGAAGAAGACAACTGCACAACGTTCCAATGGCACAAATTCTAACACAATTCTATAAAACTCATCAAAAAACGTTTTATTGAATCAATAACCTTGAGAAAATGAGTCTTCGACAAACAAAGTCTCAAAGCAATACTGATTGAAACTTTCGTGGCATCGAAAAAAAACTAGCACGTTTTCAAACTTACCCAAAAACAGAAAACCTACTTAAGTAAACTAAACACTTATTTGAAACACAGCACTCAGAATTTTTAGAAGAATAAAAAAATGGAATCAACGAGGACTGGTGAAAATTTATTATCCCTCCATATACCCGTTTTACTATCCAAAAATAGTGGAAACGTAAGTGGAAAAAACTTTTAAAAAAACCGAATTGATTGGTGACTAATAACATATGTGTGTGTATTTATACATCTTATTACTAACCAATCATGATCCGCAACTAAATCTTACCCATGATTTGTGAACCCGACACCCTGCTGGTTCAGAGAACTATTATTAAAGATTGAAATCAGATGCTTTCTTCTCTCCTCTAGCTTCGCAATCAAAACACTATATCACTAGATCTATTGGGACTTTGGGACTAGGAAATATAAGATACAGGAGTAAGAAAAGGATTGGTATTTGACTAAGGAATTGCACGAGCCTATCCTGCCGAAAAAAGATAGCGTGCCCAAAAAAATTAGCTTTTCACTGCCACAATTACGATTTCTTCACATATCATTAAAACTTTGCTTCAATTTTACATCTTCGGGTGAGCTTCGGTGAGTGGGAAGACACAGAGGTTATGACAACTTGGTTCAGTTCTCTGTTGTATTTTCAACCAAAAAAACTTGTTTTAATACAGGGAGGTAACTGCCGAGTGAAATGTTAACTTATAACTTCAAAATTCTGCTCGGAAGCGAAGCTGCACTTCGCAAACACAAGCGTGAAAACAGAAAAAAAAGATGCTCTAAAAAGGAAAAAAGTAAATTCATGTTCGACTAGGATTAGTGGGAACTAGTTTCTTTTACGGTTATGTTTAGCTGATTTGGAATTTGAAAAACTGGACAAGCTGTGGGCCAAGATAGAGGGTGAAGTAGAAAATATAAAGAAGCAGCCATTTGACGATATTCATACAGAACCGACGGTCAGTAATTTAGAGTACCATTTTGGATTTTTTTTTGACACTCCTCTTTTTATATTAGAAACAGAGGATGCTTTTGAACGTCTATCAATTTTCAGTCCTATCAATGAAGAGCCATTGGTTTAGTCTCGTCTAATAGGGCGAAGCAACTTCATTACCACGTGCACCGCAGCGGTTACCACAGGCACGATAGAGTTTTTACCGCCTCACCAACTAAAAAACCATCATATGAATGATTATGCTCTATATGGCGTACCGTTTTTTTTATCCCTGAATAAAATTTATATAAATTTCTATAATATTTCTGGGCTGCTGAATTTTGTTCTTCTCTACGGAATCATTTTTTGCTTATCAATGTTCATTTTGCAATATCTTACGTTTTGTAGTATCTTCTAACTGAATTGTTATACAAGGACTTGTTAACTACCACCACCCCCCCCCCAAAGTGTGGGTAATCGTCACAAGGTACAAATAATACCTGATGAGCCGTTGAATTAGTTCTTTATAGGGTACTGAAACCAGTTCTGAATTAGTATTATAAACGAATTATATTATTGATAAAACTATCACTATAAAAAATTACTAACTAACCAATCATATTCCGTCTCTAACAGTAACACTTATTTGTAAGTGCTGAAAATACTTGTAGTTTCAGCACCAGAACAATTTGAATAAATCTTAGAACACAGTTGTACTCTTTCTGGAAAAACTCCATGAACTAACTCGCGAAAACCAGTATACACTAGATCTATTGAGACTGGAGATATAAGAGTAAGATTAATATTGGTAATGGAAGTTGCACGAACCTATCCGGCCGAAAATAAAATAGCGTAACGAACAGACGGTGCACCTTATCTGAAATTACTCTATGAGTACAGGCCAAAGGTCATAACTCATCTGGTGCGACAAAAAGTCTCGAACCAGACCTTAACTAACTTAGAATAGACAATAGAACTTAGAATTAGACAATTGCAAGATGGCAAAAATGTTAGATGGAATAGATAATTTAATAGAAATGTCTCTACGTCTCAATTAATCTACGCCAATTTTGCAAACATTACAAGAAAAACTAGGTATTGCAAGAAGACAAGATCAAGAATTGAACAACGATCAGGAAACGAACCACTCTACTACATGATAGTACGACGGAAGCCGGAACAAGTTTTTGTATTTAGAATACTTTATGCAGTAAACTTAAATTTTCACTTACTGACCTGAAAATAACTTGAAGACTAACTCTTCAACAACCCATTTGGTGCTAAACATACTATCTAAACAATAACGACTGATAAAAAGAACTTAAGTCGTTTCCCTAAAATCTGCAGTAAATCAAATTTTTGCATAAATAATTTGTTGATTAAAAATACAAAAATTATTTAGTAATAAAATTCATGGTTAGTTTCATGAACTAACACACATGATTTTTCCCATCTCAGCTTAACCACCTGAAACATAGCAGCATAAGTTCAAAAAATTAAAATCATCTAAACATAAACTTTAAAATTTTTTTAAACTAAAACTTTTTACATAAAAACTTATCAAAAACTTATCCGCGTTTTCCATAACTTACTTTTCTTTCATGAACAGATCATCAAGGTTTTCCTTGGATCGTTAACTTCAAATTAAACTACAGTTAGTTTATTCTATTACTGATCATCAAGGCTTTCCTTGGATTAAATCGGAACAATTTTGTTCTCTCCATCCCATAATTTTAAAAGTTTCTAACGACCTCAAACGTCAATTCACTTCCCAACCCTTATAAACGACCTTGGACTAATAGAAATTTTTGAAAAACTAACCATTTTAATCAAGTTAGACAGTGAAGAACTTCTTTCTTTATTATTATTACAGTTTTATTATTTCTTTCTTAGACTTTATAATAGTCTTCAAAAGAATAAATTATCCAGTTTTAAACTGGGTTAGTCCGGTTTGGGTACCGTTGGTTTCCTTTCCTTAGTCATGCTGTTATTCTATGATTTGTGGTGTTTAGTAAGCTGCATTGGTTAGTTTTGATTTGTATATAATTCCTTTCCAACCGGGTTAAAGGAAAGTTTGAAACGTGTTATCGTGTATTAGAGTTGTTGAGTGTGAAAGCTTGAAACTGAAATTCATTATTTAAACAATTCTTCGTGGGCGAGCTGTGCGAGTTTGGATAGAATTTTTGTGCGAGTGAGTGGAAATATCAAAAGGTTAGTACTGCATTTTCGTTTTATCAATTTACTACATAGAATTTCAATTTTACTGCTAGTTTTTTGGGGAAAAATTAAGTTACAAATTTTCATCATTATTAGAATTACTGCTTTTAGGGAAATAATTTATAAATTAATTTACTACATTGGTATGATTTTTATTGAATTTATCTAGTGCAAAATATTAATAGAGTTTTGAAGAATTTGAAGAAGTTTTCTATTTTTTATTTTTCTTTTGTGTAATTTGTAGGTGATTGTGGGATGAAGACTAAAAATCTAAATAAGACATGGATAAAGAATGGTTAGTATTTATTTCAAATTTATTAGTGAAGAATATGATAAATTATACTTACCTGTTAGTCGTCGGGGAAAAAACCGTGGGGGAAGATGTCGTGTATTATGTCGGAATTTGTTAGTAATTTTGCTAGTATGCGAATGATGTTTTTAGTTTGAAGCAGTGGCCAAAGCAATTGAAGTGCTTTAATAGTTTTTAGTTCTTCAGTGCCAACTGCAAACTCATAAGGTGTGTTTTGGATGAGATTATATAACTTGTGATTGTATTTAGTGTTGTGAATGAATTCTAATATCGGGATTTCTATAGGTTGAATAAATTCATGTGGGATAAGGAAGGGTCTGGATTCTTCTGCGTTGAAGGTCTTCGTGATGGGACAAAAAATATACATTTGGGTTATGGGATCATAATTGCGAAGAATACCGTGAAGGTTAGTATCTTTGATGCAATATGTGAAGTTAAGAAAAAATGGTGATGTGTATTTAGAATTAATAAATTGAAAACGGTGATGTGGTTGTCTTGATGGAGTGTGTAGATCAAAATGATTTTGTATGAAGCGATAATATGTATATGTGTGGGTTTGTTTAGTGCGTAACATAATGTCGTGTGAGCAGTGCAAATCGCGTTCTTGTGGTGCAAGGAAATTGAAGGTTAATGAAAATAATTGAAATCTTTCTTTAAAACTTTCGTAAGCTTGCATGTCGGTTAGTGCTTCAGAAATGACGTGGTCGAATTTGCGATCAAATATATTGAGTGTAAATACATATGGTGTTTTTATGAAGAATTTTTCTGTGATTTGTGGGTTAGCGAAACGATCATCATCTAAAAATTGGTCTTGGTTAGCTCGGATGATGTTGTGATCGTAATATTCTAGCGTATATTCGTTTGCTCGGGGTGCAGTGTATGTTTTTAGTGACTTTTTATATCCTATATAAGTAAATTGTCTATGTGTTAGTGGTGTGGTGAGTCGATATAGCATATCTTGATTTCTTTCTATATCGATGTGAGTATTAGATAAAGGTAGGCAAAGGGGGTTAGTAAAATGATAATATGATGTCCAATGAAGTGTAGGCATTAAAACTTGTTCATCTACAAAACTACGTGTGTCGTTAGTGTCGTTAGGGGTGTTCAAAGTATATTGTGGAAATGAAGGTAAGGTGATTGCTAAAAAATCTTTCGTGTTAGTGTGATTTGGATAATTAATATATTCACGGGCTGTTCCTGGTTTTGTTGGAAATGGATGGTTTGGGAATTTTCTTTTGAAAGTGCGATAAGCTCTATTAGTGCTATTTGATGATTCGGTGGATGTGGATGATGGTGCTAATGATGCGGTATAAGCTGAAGAGGGTGTAGGGGTAGGTGGGTTTGATGATTCTATTGTGGATGAAATCTGATTTATAGTGGGGTTTTCAAGGTGGAAGGGTTGTTGTTGTAGGGTGATAAATTTATCTAGTTCTTGGGAGATTTGGGGAGTATCTGGAGAATTGGATGATCGGTCTGAATGAAATGAAGAGTAGGTTGGGGTGACTTGTGAAGCATAAGAGGGTGTAGAAATGGATGGGAGTGGGTTATTTGGTGGGATTGGTTGAAAAGGGGGTTTTGAAAAAACTGAGGAGTTGGTTTGAAAATTATTGGATGGAGATGGTTCAGAGTCTGCAAATTCATCAGGGGTTTCAATATTTGGGTTATTGAGTTGTGAAACGGAGTATAAAACTGAGATATGTGAATTAGTGTCTGAATTCATGCCTGATGTTACAATATTGGTTGGGAAATCGGGTGGCGGGAAAGCAAAAAGTGGAATTATTGTAATTGGAGTGTTGAGGTTGGTTGGATGGGAATTTGAGCGGTGTAGGGATCCAAGTTGTCGGCTCATCGTGGGCTAAAAAAAATTATTATTTTGAGACTGAAAAGCGGTGGTATGGGGTTGTTCTATAATTTGTTCATATGTATTTTCATCTAGTGAATGATGTGTCATTATATGTTGAATGGGACTTTGTGATATGGTTGGTCTAAAATTTGGATTACGTGTTATTGCTAAATTTCGAAAATTTCGTGGGACTAGGGATAATGGATGGTTATGTGGTAGGGGTGGCAACTGTGGTGCTGTGGGCGTTATTTCTACATTGTTATGTTCTTCGTCATATGTGTTCTGTCTTGTTGCTATTTTTGTGTTGTATTCTTTTATTTGTGCGTCTAAAAGAATTTTGTTTATTGATGATGAAAAAATTCCAAAAAATCCTGCAAATAGTATCCTTGCTTGTCTATTTACTTGTGTGTGTATAGCGCATGTATTATAGATTCCTTTTAAAAGTGAAAAAAGAAATTCTATAAAGTTAAACATTGCGTATAAAATAGTTAATTTTTCTAAGATGTAATAGGGCCATCCTAGAAAATCAAGAATTTCATTTTTGAGTGTAACAAAGCTAAAAATATTTATAGGTGAGACATCTTGTGGTCGGTTTTTTTCACCGTTTAGATATATATAGTCTTTAATGTCTTTAAAATATCCGCTATAGTCTTGT